TCCCCTTGCTGTTCTGTTGCAGGCCCTTAGTGTTTTGCCTCGGTTTGGTGGGGTCAGATCGGGCACAATTCCCACCCTGTGTCTCCAGTGTTGTCCCCTGTAGGGCTATGGGCCAGTGAGGGATGTCGTGTCTCATAGTGGGGACGGCCATATGGTCTTCTCAGTGAATTGGCTGCTCTGAGCAGAAATCTTGTCCACAAGGCTTGGTGGGCCAGGATGTGCTCCACTCTCTCTTCCTCTCCCTTCATTTGCTCCTGTGTGCCCTGATCAGAGATGTCCCTCTCCCTGAGCTGCAGCTTCAGTGCTGCCCTCTGAAGTGAATTCTTCTGTGGGGAGTGGGGGCTGTCCATGTAATTGGCAATGGGGTCGGCCCCTCAGACCTCTCTATTGGTTCCCTGCTTCATGCTTTTGTTTTTTTAAGGAGTTGACAACATGCTAATCAATTACCCGAGCTCACCAGGGGAGGTGACTTTAGCTTGCCTGATTGTTGCCAGCTCCCGAGTTGCTCAACAGAACACGTCGCCTGGCCCTGTGCCATTTTTAAAACTGCCAGCAGGCTTGAGTGCATCCTGGTGGCCACGGTGCACACTGAGCTCTCTGAGGGCTGCCACGCCGCGTGGACCTTTGACTCCCTTCACGAAGCATCCTCTCTCAATGGGTTCTTCTCATGATGGCCCTGGCAAGTAAGCTGCACGGTGCTCTGTTGTGATCCATTGAGCTTCCATGGGCTTTCTTCTGGCAATCCATCACCAATGTTTTCTTCCTAGTCTGGCTTAGTCTGGAAGTTCCTGTACAATGGACCCACCACGCTTATCCAGTGGCTATCTGAAACACCAGGGTTACAGCCTGCAGCCTGACAGCACCCCAGCACAGCCACCTGACAGATGGGTGCATATTCAGAGCTGCAGAAGTCCAACTTGGAACCCTGGCGGCACTGTGGTAGGCAGGGCATGAGGCTGCCCTCAAGGACATGCCGGAGGGAGAAGGCACGTGCCAGGGTTGGGGAAAGCAAAGAGTACGGAGCAGTCATTTCAGAAAGCAGTCATTTTCTTTCAATATTAGGAAGATTTTTTTCAATAATTATAGCAGCCTAAGATCAATTAGTGGCCCAGTGGTGCAGTAGGTTAAGTGTTGGGCTACTTACTTACTGCAAGGTCGTTGGGTCCTATTCTGCAGCCGCTCTGAGGGCTGAAGGGGAGCCTCTGCTCCTAGGAAGGTTTGTGGATGCAGAAGCCCCAGGGAACAGCTCTCTGCGGTGGAAATGACCCGATTCTCCTAGATTTGTACTCCACACATTCCCAGTGCTGGTCATTAGTACAGTTTTGCAGCTGTCTCTCCTGACTTTGAGGTCGGGCCCCATCAGCAAATGGAGCTCCGGAAGGCTCCACTCCCGCTGGTCTGACGGCCCTATGTCACCTTGGTCGACTCCACTCGAGAAAGCAGCTCCTCCTCAGTCACACTGTGGGGACCCTCGGGTCTGAGGGCCCCCTCTGGCACTGTCTCCACGATGGCCTGCTCTCATTCACTAGCATTCCACATCTGACCATGCTTCGAAGTGATGCACACAGTCCTCAGGGCCTTCTTCCACCCTTCTTCGTAGTCTGTTCTTGGTCTGGAAGCTCCGCTGAAACCTGTCCCCTTTGGGTGACTGCTGGCATTTGAAAGACCACCGGCATCACAGCAACACATAAGCCTTCACAGTTTGACAACTGACAGACAAGGGGTGGCCTCTCCTTAATCCTCAGAAAACAAGGAGGAAAGGAGGGGGTGACTAAACTTGAGGAAGGGGCATGTGTATGCGCTAAGGGGAGGGAGGCGGCTCAGCGCAGGAGAACCTGCTGCAATGCTGCAAACTGACACTGCCCTCTGGTGGCGGAAAGGAGGAAGTCAGGTCTTGGTACTGGACCCGGTGGAATCCCAGGCATTTCCTCCATTTAATAATGGTTACCATTATTACTGTCCAACGATTCAGCAGAGGCAAACGTGTAAAACAAATAGAGCGATGGAAAGAAGGAAGGGCCGGGAGACAGACGAGCGAAAGGGAGGCTGAAAGAGTGAGTGATAACAACGGATCAACAGGTAGAGTTTATAAATATCTGAGTGCTTCGAAAAACCTTGTCATTTTGAAATAGAAATGAAAATATTGAGGACTTAAAACAAAAATCAAACAAGCCCAAACCACTCGGAGATTTTATAAGTTGTTGAATACAAAAACGATGACCTGAAATGTAGAAGCCCCACTGAATTCACGATAACAAGTAACGAGCAAACACAAGCCCACTGCCATCGTGTGGAGTCACAGTGAGTCTAGCTGGTTCCCCAGGGCTGTGCATCTATACGAGAGCGAGCAGACAGCCTCACCTTCCTCCCGCAGAATGGCTGCTGGGTGTGCAGCTGACTGTGGTTAGCACCCAACGCTTACACGACCAGAAGACCCACGACAAGTGTTCCGTGGTAGGATTCCTGCCTTCGTTATGGGAGATGCAGGCCCTCTTCCGGGCCAGCACATCTCGCACATAGCAGGGGAGGTTTGTGGACTGCTAAGGATCACAGAGGTCTGGTTTGTGAAGAGTCATGAGAATGACGCCGAACGAGCCAGGGTCTTGCTCCAGCTCGTGCAAGGAGGTTTCCACGTGGTGGGGCCAACAGGCAGCAGTCAGGACAACGTGGAAAGCTGACCTTCCTCACAAAGCAATCGCTCTCTGGCTTTGTCTCTGGAGCTGCCTGGAGACTGGGCTGGTGGGACTTCATTGCTATTGTGTTACAGTCCACGACTAGTGGGACAGTAACCATCACTTATCGTGATAAGTGACATCTCTGGAGGGGCAGACATTGTGCTAGGACCTGTGCTCTGTGCATTAATTCACACTCCCAAGAGGGGCGCGGAGAATGAGCTTTTCAGCGAGAGGACTGGGATGCTGGTGTATTGTGTATGCCCTCTGGCTTCTGGGCTGCTTTGGAAATTAAGACAATGAGGCCAGTTGAAAGGATGGAAAACAGAACAGCCTGAGAGTCAGCAGGGCACGGAAATGCCTGGGGACTTGGTCTGAGGGTGCTCACCACAGCTCCTGGGGCTGGAGGGACAAGAAAGGTGGGATCAATCTCTGGGGCCCAGCAAGCCTGCCACAAGTCTCCCCAGTGATCCTTACCCCCTGTCTCCTGACAGAACAGGCCCCCTCTCCCTCCCTTGTCCCATACATACCCCCCACACCACTGATGACTCCTTACAATACTACGACCGGGTCCCCTGTTTCCTTAATGTACAATGAGGGTCTTCAAGCCTTTGTTCGCATTGATGGTCAAGAAAACAGCCCTCAACCTTAAGCTGGCATCAGAGTCATTTGGGGGTGGCTTGTTACAGTGCAGATCGATGGGCCGTACCCTAGCATTTTGGGTTCAGTAGATCTGGGGCGGGCCTGAGGACTTGCCTTTCCAACAAGCACTCAGCGATGTCAATGTTGCGAATCCAGAGATCACCTATGGATCACCTATGGATCACCCTTGTTCTAGGCGCACCCGCGCCTCACAGGGCTAATAAGCTCTGAAGACCAAAAATCCATGTTAGACCACCAAGGAGGGTGATGGCATCTGGTTAATGCGCATCCCTTACAGGGGCAGGAGCAGTGGGCCTTTGACCAGATGGATGGCTGCGACAAGGGGCTCAGACATAAGAACGAAGGTACGGATGGCAGGGGAGCTGGCAGTGTTTGCGTCACAAGGTTGCTGTGAGTGGCCCGCCTCCGTGGCTCCTCACCACCGCCGCAGCACAGCGGGGAGAGGAGCGGGCTCTGTGAGCGACCAGCGACAACACCACACAGCTGCCCGACCGCACCGTGTGCTATTAATGTGCCAAACAGTCAAAACGGCAGCTTGGTGTTTGTTTGGTTTTGGCACCTGTTGTAGATGCGAAACACCGCAGCTAACAAGACAGCTGCTATGTGAGAAGGTGTGTTTTGGTCCTCCGGTGTGAGAAAAAGTAAGTCAACAAACATGTGGAGGTGACACCAAGCTTATATAAACGCGCTCCAAGGCCCAAATCGTGAAGAATCCCTCAAAAGCACATGAGCGCCCCCAGACGGTGGAGGGCCTGCAGGCGGCTGGCGTGCCTCGGCTGTGTGGCTGTGGTTGCGGCTCCTCTCTGCCCGAGGAAGGGCTTGGAGAGGCGTTTGCCTGCTGTGGAGGGCAGTGTGCGGGGTCAGCAGCTTCTGGCCACCGGGGAACAGGACTTTTCTGAGTGCCATTGGAAGAGGTCACATTGTTAGCTACCATTGTCCCCACCCCCACCCCACCCCATGAGCAGAGCAGACAGGGTTTTCAAAGCCGTGACCTTGTTAGAAACAGACCACCAAGCCTACAGGAGGCTTCGAACCACGAACCTTTGGGTCAGCAGTGGAGTGCTTAACAACCGTTCGCACCACCCGGAGATTCCAGAAGAGAGAGAGAGATTGTCAGACCCGAAATCAATCCTGCTGCTGTCAGGCAGTTCCCACTCACAGCTGGTGGAGGACAACGGCCACGGAGGCTGTCATCTGCATGGACGCTGACGGCCTCATCTTTCTCCCCAGGGCCAGCCAGTGGGCTTGAAGCTCCAACCTTTGGTTGGCAGCCGAGTGCTGAACCACGAACCACCGTGCTACCATGGTCCCTTAGAGGACTCACAGGGGTTACCTCCTGCAGCTCTACTTTTAACAAAACGCCCGCCGAGTTGCATAGCTGGTCGGCAGCAGCTCTCTCTCCAAGTTCACCAGCCTCTGTCTTCACCACCAGGTCCCTGAGCCATCCCACAAGGGCAGCACAAGTTCACGAGACAGTTGCCTCCCACGGTTCTCCCTACCTTTCACCAAGGGGAAGAAGCAGTCCATCTCCACACTGCTCCGGGAGTGGGAGATGCACAGCGCACTGCTGGGGACCAGGCCCTCCTGGGGGGGACTCCGCTCGGTGGTGCGGACCAGACACCAGCCGGGTCTCTCACTCGGCCGCTCCAGCAGCTCCACCGTCTGGCCCACCTGGATGGTCAGCTCACTGCTGTGGCCTGCGCTGAAGTCCTGCAGGACCACCGTCAACTCACAGCCGCCGGAGAGCTTTGGGGCCAGGTGGGAGGGGAAGGTAGGCAGGTGGGTGAGGTGGGAAAGGGGTGTGAGAGCAGGGGAGAGGGAGACCAGGGGTGGGGGTGGGGGTGGGGAATAAAGGGTGAAGGTAGAGAAGGGGAAAGGTTAGGAAGAAGGAAGGCCGGAGATGGAGAAAGGATTTGGGAAGCAGAGAGAAAACAAAACAAGTCATTAGCACAGGGCCAGGCAGGCAGGCTGCTGTTCTAGCTGCAGCAGGAGCCTGGAGTACCCCCAGAACCAGGGTTTTGATCCTAATGCCTTCTGGCTGGATTGGCGCTCCTGTCATTCCTCCCTTTGCCAAGCTCCCAGACTTGAGCCTGCAGCCCCTCCCTCACAGGCCCCTTGCTTCCTTCCCAGGACTCTGCCCGGTGGTGCCTCTTCCCAGCCCCTCAAGGCTCTGACTGTGCTGGCACCGATTTCAACTCACCCATTCGCACACGCTCCTAGATCATGTTTGGGAATAACAGGAGAGGTGGCTTTCCTCCCTCCTGACCCCTGCAACCCCTCCTAGCCTCACCCTTTAGCCTCAAACAGAAGCAGGGAGTGACCCCCAGAGCCATGGGAAGCAAGGTATTGTGTGTCTGGAAGGAGAGAGAAACCAGACTGCCTGCCCCCGGGCAATGCTGACTCACAGTGACCCCACAGGACAGGTCAGAACTGCCCTTGTCGGTTTCTGAGACTGTCACTCTCTACTGGAGTAGAAGGCCTCATCTTTCTCCCATGGAGGTGGCTAGTGCTTTCAAACCACTGACCTCAAGTTTAGCAACCCAACGCATAACTACTATGCCACCAGGGCTCCTGGGGGAAAGAGGAGGGTCCCGCCTTACTCAGGCATAAGCACCTGCCTTTCCGCTGGGCCTGTTCCTTCCTATTACATGGGTCCTGGGGCAGAACTGCTGTCTGCATCTCCCACCAAAAATCCAAACTCAACGTCACTGTCACAGAGTCAGTTCTGACTGACAGTGACACCACACGACAGGGCAGAACTGCCCCTGTGGGTTTCCGAGATTACAATTCTCCATGGGAATGGAAAGCCTCATCTTTCTCTCGAGGAGAGCCTGGTGGTTTTGAACTGCTAAGCTCTCCCTTAGCAGGCCAAGGTGTAACCACGACACTACTAGGGCTCCTACATCTCCCACACATCGGCTTGTTTTGAAGATTTTTCATTGTTACTTTTTGAACAGTTTGAGTCTTCTCCAGGACCAGTCTCCACACTTCCTTCTCCGGTGCATCTTTTCTCCTCTTCTTCCTGTCCCACTTTCCCGTTTTCATGGCTTTGAACTTGAATGACGAGGCTTTGGAAGTTCACTGATAGGATTCTTACCTGCTGTGCAGGAGACCTGGCTCAACCCAAGGCAGTGCCCCTCCTGTGCAGTCACCACCCATATCTCTCTCTCTCTCTCTCTCTCTCTCTCTCTCTGTCTCTCTCAGGAGAGAACTGTGTGCTGCTACAACGAAAGGCTAGGTTTCAAGGGAACTTCCAGACTAACACGGACCAAAGCTGGGCTATCGACTTCTGAAAGTCGGCCCAAGAAAACCTCCGGGGCCGGATGGCGCACTGTGCCACCTGCTGTCCTCCCTGCGTGAGGGTGGTCTCTCACTGCACAGAGGGTCGCCGGGTACCGAGGCTGACTCGGAGGCATTTACCAACAACAAAATGGGGACCACTTACTGCTGGTGCTTTTGAACTGCTGACCATGCAGATCGCAGCCCAACAGGTAACCACTGCACCATGAGGGCTCCTTCCCTAAGAGTACAGTTGTTTCCATATTGAATCTGACACCCTGTTATCATTGTGAGGTGCTGCCTTGCGGGGATCCTGTGTGTTATAGAGTAGGAGGGCCCCATAATCTGTGCAGACACCGATCGCCTGGTCTTTTCTTCTGCAGTACTGCTGGGTGGGTGTGAACCTCCAATTGATAGGCCAGCAATTGAGTGCCAACTGTGTGCTCCCACTGAAGACCTTCTCTAATACATGTTGCTCTTGAATGCCGTCGCGTCAGTTCCGACACTGAGCTCTGTCCTAGAGGACAGAATGGAATGGCCCCAGAGGCTTTCCAAGGCTGGAAATGTCGATGGGACCAGACAACCGCTTCTTTCTCCCGTGGAGCAGCTGGTGGATTTGAACTGCTGACTTCTTGGCTATCAGTCAAGTGCTTAACCATTGTGTCACCAGGGTCCCTTCCCTAACATCCAGCCTGATTTCATTGTCTTAAGCAGAGGACATCTTAATTAATACCATACATTGGAGGAACTAAGGATCCCACCAAGCTAGTTTGTAACAGAGGCTTACGATTCCAGATTCCTAGCTCAGAGCACTTTGCACAACACTTGCTAATGTTAGTGTATCTTTCCAGGAGAATGACTCCAGGCTCACACCTGCACCTAACACTCCAACAGAGACATGCATGTCACCTTGCCAAGAGATTTCAATTCCAGGCTTGATAAAACTGCTGAGGACACAAAACGCAGAGAGGAAGCACAAATTACAGCTCATAAATCCCACCGCCACCACCCCAACCCCCCAAACCACCTTGGGCTTTTATTCACTGCCATCAGGTCTGTCCTGGCTCATAAGGATCCTGCAGAGCAGAGCAGGGCTTCCACTGTGGGTTTCTGAGACTGTCAAGCTTTACAGAAGGAAAAAGCCTCATCTTTCTCTTGAGGGGGGGCTGATGATTTCAAACGGCGGCTCTTGTGGTTAGCAGCCCACTGTGTAACCCCTACTCCACCAGGCGCCTTGTCCCGAGCTTTCACAAGCTTCTAGTCTCACATCCTGCTCCAGGCAGGCCCCTCTACTTCATGAAAGAGGACCCCGGGTCCGGATTGCCCATCGGGCTGCTACTCATCAGGTCACCCGCTGGAAACTACCAGCTGTTCTTTGGAAGAATGAGGAGGCTTTACACTTCCGTGAGCAGTTGCCGTCTCGGACACCCACGGGGAGTTCTGCGCCGTCCCGGGGTCCTTCACGAGTCCGCCTCAACTCTACAGCAGCGGGAGTTTGGATTCGACTGTATGAAAATGGCCCCTTCTGGTGAGAGCTGTGGTTTTAAGAGTCTTCATTGTGTGTGTGTGTGTGTGTGTGTGTGTGTGTGTGTGTGTGTAGAGGGGGGTGGTATTTTCTTGTAACTCTTCCAAGTCTGCCCTCTAGGGTAATACAGAGTCTTTCTTCCATAGGGATTTCATGTAGGATTTGAAGACGATACCAAGCTTTCCTTAACGTTTTCCAAAATGTTCCCATTCCCCAAATAATTCTTTGAGTGATTCCCAGAGGTGCGGCTTCCAACCTTTTCATAATCGTCTTTGGCGACTCATCAGACCTTTTGTAGCTAGTTGGGGCACCCAGAGCTGCGCCCGAGCCTTTCCATGCAGCTGTCCCAGCAGGGACTCTTCTGGCTCTCATGTCTCATGTCTCGTGTCCTGACACCCCGAGGGGCTTTTATTCAGGCCGCGCCGCTGGCCTGTATTGAACATGCAGCCTAGGAAGGTCCCCAGACCTAATTCTCCAGGGTTTCTCTGGCCAGCTTCTCTCCTTTCTGTGCTTGTGCTACTGAGGCTTTTGATGCAGGGGGTTTTAGACGCATCGTCATTCAGCCCCACGAGAGCATTGTGTTCTTGAGCGAGAGACGTGCAACTGGGATGTCGGCCTTCGGAGGAACGAAGACAGGGAACACAGTGGGAGGGGGATGAGGTGAAATAAAGTGTGTTCATGAAACACTGTTGAATATACAACTAATGGTCTGCTCTGTAAACCTTCACCCAGTGAGCTCTCAACGGGTCATTTAAAGGGAAATAGTAAAAGAAAGCCAAGCATCCCTCGGGTTCCTCGGAGTGAGAGAACAAGGCAGGGACAAGAGCAGAGCTTGGAGAGACAGGACACTGTAGTTCTTGACAGGCAGGCTCAGGGTTACCTGGGAGAGGACCACATTTCCTGTGTTGCTTCTGGGTACAACTAAACCGTGCACAGAAGTTACAGGGGGTGAGCTCTGGCTAAACTTAATGTTCTTCCAGACCTCCTGACCTGGTGGTTCAGAGGTAGAAGCCTTGCCTTCCATGTGGGAGACCCGGGTTTGAGTCCTGCCTCGCAGTGGAGGCGCACGTGTTGTTGGGGTGGCTAGCAGGCTTCAGCAGAACTTCCAGGCTAAGGCAGACTAGGAAGACTAGTCTAGCGACCTTCCTCCTCAAACCAGCCAGTGAAAACCCGCCGGAGCACAATGGCCTGAGCTGCACTCGGTTGCGCATGCGGATGCCAAGAACCAAAGGCAGCACACAACAGCAACATCGGTGATTCACGTTTCCTGGCAGGAATGTAGCAGGTGCCGGTTGGAGCCATCCAGCCCTGGAGCAGGGGGACATGCAAACGGATACACAATTGTCTGCTCCGTCCCCGTGTCCTGTCTACCTGGAGGCATCAGGGAACAAGGAGATGAGGCACTGTAGTTTGAGAAGCCAAGCAGAGCTTTCCCCCACTCAGAGCAAAGCCTCCGCAGGACTAATAGCTGCTACTTCCTCTCCTGTCTGATCTCCTTGCCCCTGGGAAGCCCTCGCCGGTGGTCAACAGAGGCGGCTAAGCGCGGCATTGAACTTGAGTCTGCAACACTGACCTGGACATCTCCCAGCAAACCCTTTCTCCCCAGAGGAGAGCTATGCTGCTGGCTGGTTGCACTCGGGTGGGAAGGCTCTGTCCCCCCTAGTTTAGGGACGATGGAAAAAGCCCAAAGGAATGACCCTGAAGTCCCCGGGTTACCTGCAGACAAGCCAGGAGAGGGAGCTGAGACAAACCCGCAACTACCACACGCAATGCTGCACTTAGAGAGGAGGTAGACTGCCCCAGGGATCCTGCAAGTGGTCCCCCATGTGGCTTCTGAAACACTGGACGGCTGAGCCCCAGAGGAAACCAGGGGAAAGATGAGAGGGGATATTCATAAGAGCCCCAGTCGCTACCAAGGCTCCATTATTCCCAACCCCCCTTT